CTTATTGTTCTGAATTTAGCAGCATTCATGGATCCATTGAAGGATATCAGATGTTCTTGTGGTTTGGACATCTTGGACCCACAACAATCCTTACGCTCTGGGTTTATATATAGCTTTGTAATTGATTCCTTTTAGCTTCTTCGAACACGACACAACTCCAACACTTCCCTTTTCCCTTGCTTTGTTCTTCGCCATTGCAGAGAAGATTGAAAAAAAATTCAGAAAAAAACTTACCCAAAAAAAGGAAACCCAAAGCAATTAGATACAAACCATTAAGTGAACTTACTGTTTAGGATGGGTGGAAATTAACTTTTTTGATTGATTTCCAGATTGAGGAGTGACGCCATGAAGAACGCGCAACAACCATTAATTACCTCAAGAGATGAGAGAGAAGAAGAAGGGAAAGAAGAAGATAAAAGGGGGTAAATTAAAAGGAAAGATTTAGAGGGAAATTAGTGGGAATTAGGAGAAATTGGGTGTGTTTAGTAAAAAAAGGGGCACGTGACCGACACATGTGGGGTCAACGTTGAAAAACACTCAGTCAATGCCGGATTCTCACCTTTGGTTGTCTTCAACAAAAAATTTTAAGAATTTGGTTTCTTCTAGCCAAAAAAATTTTATAAGGTTTTTCCCAACAAAATAGTTGCTATAAATGGTTTTTTCTGACAAAATTTCTTTTTAATTATCACTTTTCTCTCTTTCTTTTCTCGTGTACAGTTACCTTTGATTCAACTCCATTATATTTTTAAAAAAAAAATTATACTACCTCTCTACAAGGAACCCTAATTTTTGTGTTTAATTACCTCAATTCATTCTTTCTCTAATTGCATCCATATATATCAAAGTATAAAAAATTCAAGGAAAATTTGCCGAGAATAACACGACCTTAATTTGAGCGGTCTTCCAAAAATAGCACCACTTTCGATTTTATTTCAAATAAAACGACCTTTCACATACTTCTGCTATAAATGGTACAAAAAACATGTAACATGTTTTACAGGTTACCCCGTGACACATGTCACACAGTCATTAGTTCAATTTTTTTTTTGTACAAGTTTGATTTAAATAAAAACCTATAAATAAATAAAAACCCCTAAAAAACTTAATATTAAAAAAAATAAAAATAAACCCCCCGTTTGCCCTAGCCCCTCTTTCACCGGGATTTTGGGAACTACCACCCTCACCAGACCATCCCATCACCTGAAACCTCCCTTCCCCGATCACAATTTCAGCCCCCTCCCCTCTCCGTAGCAAATTTCGACCTCCTCCCTTCATTTTCCCCAATTTTGAGCCCCTTGCTTGCTCGAGATTGACTTGTATGCCTCTTGGAATGAACATCATGGCATCCCTTGAAAACTTGACAAGGTTTGTAGTTGGTGGAATAAGCAATATTTCACAGGAATGAAAGGGAAGGGGGGATCGAAAATGGAGAAGGGAAGGGGAGGGCCACCAGAATGAAGAAGGGAAATGGAAGAGGGTCAAAAATGGTAACGGAAAAGGGCAGAAACGAGGATGAGAAGGGGAAGGGGGACCAGAAATGATGACGGAAAAGTGAAAGGGGATTGGAAATGGGGATGGGGGCTCAGATGGGGTGGTTTGAGGTGGGGTAGATCGATGGGGATGGTGGTTTCCGGTGAAATGGGGGGCTAGGCAGGGGGTTTATTTTTATTTTTTTAATTTTACGGTTTTTTTAAAAAAATTTAAAAATCAGATTTGTTAAAAAAAATTGCACAAAGATATTGTGACACGTGTCACAAGTAACCTGTAAAATAGGTTACCAACTGGTCACATACCATTTTTAGCGGGAGTATGTTACAGGTCGTTTTATTTTGGAATATCGAAAGGTGGTGCTATTTTTGGAAGACCGCTCAAAGGATGTGTTATTCCCGGTAAATTTTCCAAAATTCAATATAATGGATACTAAATGATAAATAATTTTGTTATGTTTTCATATCCAACTCTACATAATGGATGATGTAATATGTGTACTAGCGTTGCGGCAATTATATGTGTTGTGGGTGAATCTAGTGACTCCGTTGTACATGATTAAGTATAATAGTGAGAAAATGACTTATAAAAAATAATCATAAGTGTAGGCGTCGTTCGAAGTGCGCCTACGTTAAAGCATGTTGTGAATATGCTTGGCACTCATAGGAAGTGGGAATTGACATAACACGATTAGGGACAAATAAAGTAGGGAGCCGCCAACAAGTTTTTAAGGAACTTGTAAACCGTACACGGATCATAAAAAGCTAACCACGATAAGGGACAACGAAGGCAACAACGATTGACCCATGAAGGTTACACCCCATTCATAATCCATGAGATTACTAACTCCATATGGTTCGGAACCACGAAAGGAGGATCAGGGTTGATGGTACGAAGTGAGTCATGGAGTCACATTCGCCCGTATTGGCCTCTACTCGATTCTTATAGTGAAAAGTTATTCCTGCGATCTCAAAGGCATACAAACAAAATATTCAATTCACTCCAAACTATTATTAAGATAAATTGGTTGAATATTAATGCAACATATAATTCTAAAATATTGTGATCACTTGATTAAATAACAAGATTAAAAAGGATCCTAAACCGGTTGTCCAAATTATCTTATTAGGCGTGATTTTCAATTACATATTCCCTTTAAACATGCAATATGGTGATCAATAAATATAATAGAATAACATCAATATTGGAAGCAATTTAACCATAATTCCAACAATATAAAATCGTTAGAAAAATAATAGAAATAAAAGGAACATAATTCTTACTTTGATTCCGTTTGTTTGCAACTACAAAATAATAAACGAGTTAATAACTTCAAGGAAATAATAATAAAACAATAATTAAATTAAATTAAATTAAGTAGGGTTGATTTGGGGCCAAACCCTCAAACAATTCTACCTTTCACGCCTTGGCTTAAGGACTGAACCACGAGTAAAGTATGGAGTCCTTGGAGTACTTGAAGAAGGAATTTTGAAATAAGAAGGGTAGGCTAGTGTTTAGGCTAGAGCATAGAAGAGAGAAAAAACTAGAGAATTAATTGATGCCCCGTACGTCAGAAATGAGGGGGTATTTATAGAGAAAATGTGTTGAGGGAACACACGGAACCCTAAAATGATAAAAACCCTAAATAAGTATCCCGTGACACGGAAAACTGTACCGTGACACGGGAAGTCCCACCGTCAGACGGGAAACATTCCCGAGACACGGTGTAATTTTTGAGTGACGCGGGAAATATTTAGTAAACGGGGAAGAAAACGCGTTAAGGGTTTACGCGGAAAGGACACGGAAATTCCCGTGTCACGGGAAATCCCACCGTCAGACGGGAAAGATTCCCGTGACACAGTGGACTCCTGCCGTGGCGCGGGAATTTTCAGTCCGCTTTTCCGTCTAAATACATTTTTAACCCTAATTTCGTTCAGCATTTTAAGTGCCGATTGATAATTTCGGGCCTTTTTCTGATTTGTTATTATTTGGGCTAAAATAAGACAATAAGAAAATAAAATAAATAAAAGGTTTGGGCCAAAAATATATAATAAAACAATAAAATAAAAAAAGGTTTGGGCTAAAATTAAATAATAAGTTTGGGCTGAAATTAAAACTATGCTTTTACCAAACATCAAGACTAATCCATGGACTATTCAAAAATACGAATTTAATCAAATACGATTTTTTAAGCAGTCTCGGGATTAAATACTGAACCCGACCAATAGTGGCGGTGAAAGGTGGTTCATCATCGGGTTTGGTTTTGGGGAGACATTTTTAGGTGTCTACAATAAGAATTTTACATAGAAAGATTATGTTAAATATTTGAAGAATTTTTTAAAACTAAATAAATAATGGAGTTGAATCAAACTGAGACCATCTATAATAAATAAGAGGTCGTTTTAGTTTTCCAAAAATTGAGACCATCTATTTTAAATAAACGGTCTCTTTTACTTTTTTTTTTTAAAAAGAAAATTGTATTTTTGATATATGTATAAATTTAATTTTTAAAAAAATTACAATTCATCTACATGTAACATTTACAACGGAAATACAAGTAGCTTATACTTGCAAAAAATTATACAAAACTTATACTACCTCCGTTAACAGTTATTTGCAACGAAAGCGACATGCGCAGACTCCTAGGCAAAATTTTTAAGGCTTGTTTAAGTATGAATAATTGTAAGGAGGGCCATGTGATTAAGACATAAAAAGGGAGGGAAAGGTGGTCCCGTTTTTCTCTGAATTTTTTTTAGCATAGATCAGTTGCTACATGAACAAACAACAATGGAAGACACAACAATGGAAGACTATGATTCAAGCTCCATGGGAGAAAGTGACAACAACAACCAATATGACAACAGCCAAAATATGGGCAATGAAGAAGAAATGCCACAATCCAAAAGTAGGAAACAACTAACTGTAATGCAAAAAAGAGAGATTGTTGATGCATTTCTACATAACCTGGATGGCCAAGATCTGCCAAGAGGCTTTTAGTCACAAATTGCAAGAAAGTATAACGTTCACAGATCATCAATACATAGATTATTCAAAGAAATCAAAAGGCAATTGGCTGAGGGGGCTGTAATAGATGTCAGAAGCAAGAAGCTTGGTACAACAGGACCAAAACCAACTGAATATTCTGATGAGTTTCTTCAGTCAGTCCCTTTGTATAAAAGGACAACATAGAGAAGCTATGGGGCTGCTCTTAAAATATCACATGTCACCATTCACAAGCTCAAGAAAAAAGGAGGCTAAGGACTCATACAAGCACAAATCACCCTTCCCTCACATCCAACCACAAGGTGGCCAGATTAAAATGGGTCTTAAGTCACCTGCTGCCTGCTGAACAGAACATACAACCCAAGTTTCAGAATTTCCAATAACATGTACACATCGATGAAAAATGGTTCTACCTCAATCCAGAGACAAGGAAGTTCTATTTGCTCCCAAATGAACCTAATCCATATAGGTGCCAACAGTCCAAAAGATTCAAGGTAAAAGGCATGTTCATGGCTATCATTGGCAAGCCAATTTTTTACTCCCAAGGTCAAGTGGTACATGATGGAAAGTATGGAATCTTTCCATTTGTTTATGAGACAATTGCAAAGAAAAAAAGCAAGAATAGAGAAGCTGGAGCTGTGGAAATTAAGGCAACACAATATGTAAACAAGGAAGCAATAAGGGAAATGCTGCTTCACAATGTGATTCCAGCAATCAAAAGTAAATGGCCATCAGATCTGTCCAAGGACATTTTGATTCAGTGGGATAATGCTCGATCTCATCAAGTTCCTAGCTAAGGATGAGGAATTCCAGCATGCATGTCAGTCAGATGGGTTTAACATACAATTCATTTATCAACCAGCCCAGTCACCAGATCTAAATGTGTTAAATCTTGGATTGTTCAATACAATACAGAGCATCCAGTACCAATCATTCCCTAAGAACTTGGGGGAACTCATTGAGAAAGTGAAAGAGGCTTATGACTCTTTTAATCCAATACTAAACAAGCACACATGGATAACACTACAATGCTGCATGGAAGAGATACTGAAGCATTTGGGTGGCAACAATTTCTCCCCACCACACAAAGGGAAGAAAAGGCTGGAAAGACTAGGCCTGCTGCCTGAACAACAAGAGGTGGAGGGGGCTGTGGTTGAACAAGCTGTTGAACATTTGAACACTTTATTCATACAAACAGGGGAAGTCAATGAAGAAGATGAAGGCATGCAAGTTGATGCAGATTGAAGAACATGTCAAGCACATGGGACAGACTGCCACATATAACCATTGAAGAGCTATTAAGCAAGTGGTAAAATTGCTAGGTTGTTTTTTGTGTTTATAGTTTTACCAGTTTAAAAAATTCATTGGTTATGTGTATTTTGTGAAAATTCAAGTCATATGTTGTAAGGCAGTCTGAACTAGCTTAATTTGACAAAAGTACTACCTTTTGAAGGCTTTATTGCTTATGTTGTAAGGTTGTATTTAAGTGGTGTTGATTTATGTGCATAAATTGATGACAATATGTTTACCAAAAAAAAAAAAAAAAAAAAAAAAAAAAAAAAAAAAAAAAAAAACAAAACCACATGTAAATCCATCAGAAGCTGTGGTTTATGACATAATAGTAAATTGCATAAGTGATTTCCTCAACAACAACTTGCATATGAAGTTGTTGGAGCAATTCCAACTTATGAATTTCAAATGTCAAATGAGTCCCTTCATCATTTGGATTTGTTACACATTAAGGGACTCACACATTTCCTCACTCACACATAAAGAGACTCAGGAAAGGACTCATACATATAGGCAGCATTGTTTTTTTCTCTCTTAAAATAGTTATTGAGAACTAAACAAAAGGGACTCATAAATTTAGGCAACTCTAGGCAACACTGGTGAGGTTCTCTCTAAGCATAGTCCTTGAGAACACACATAAAGGGAGTCATACAAAAAGGGACTGAACTGCATAAACATCTTACAACATTCAAAGTAGGCTACTATTGTTTCATCACTCATCATATCACAATTCCCATTGCCAATTTGCATACATATCATCATATCATCATCAAAACCAAAACAACCAGTACATGCCTATTTATAGCAGAACAGCCATATATTCTCCACAAAACAACCAATAATCTCACAAAACAGCCATATATTCTCCACAAAACAACCAATATACTCACAAAACAACCAATAATCTCACAAAACCAACAATATACTCACAAATCAGCCAATTTTCTGACCAAAACAGCCAATACATGCCTATTTATAGCAGAACATAGACTTAATACCAAACCATATGCCCAAGTGTATGATAAATATCCATATCTTATCGTAAATAACCAAAGAGTATCATAATAGGCAAAGATCATCAGAAACAACCAATACAAGCCAATAATCTAACAAAACAGCCTATAATTAGACCAAATACAGCAAATAATCTCACAAAACAGCCATATATTCTCCACAAAACAACCAATAAACTCACAAAACAACCGATAATCTCACAAAACCAACAATATACTAACAAATCAGCCAATTTTCTGACCAAAACAACCATATATTCTCAACAAAGCAACCTTTCGACTCACAAATCAACCAATAATCTCAAAAAAACAACTAATTGCAAGCAATTAAATTAAAAAAAGTTAGGTTAGAATAGCGTTACGCTACGACATTAGTTAGGGCCAACGTTAGAAGGGTTGTATTCCCCCCCAACAGCATCATCGGTGTCCTCAAAGGAGCCAGATCTGCTCCTTTTTTTTCCAGAAACACCACCGTCGCCCTTTTCTCCAGTCACCTCTTCAACCTCAGCAACAATTGCTTTTTCATGGGACTTACCATCTTCGTTCTTCACAACATCAGCAATAGTTGCTTTTTCATTCAACCCAACCTTATTTTTGCCCAGATCTGCCAAATTCGCAACCTCACGTTTTTCATCGTAAGTAGGATCTGCAAGCTTCGCACCACCACCGAATTTCCTCTTCCTCTCAATGAAAATTACCGTCTTAACCAACTTCATCTTCCCAGTACGACGCTGACATTTGTAGGTCGCAATAACATTGTCATCTGGAATCTTCTCATTTGGGGGATTCATTTTTGGTAAAATGAAGAAAGAAAACAGTAGATCTAAAATTAGGGTTTCGAAGAACAGGAGAGAGAAAGAGGATTACCAGATTTAAAGAGGAGGAGAGAGAGAGAAAGTGACAAATTCTGGAGGGATGCGTACATTTAAAAGCTTCATCAACCATATTAATGGCAGTGGTTGAAGATGTATTGATGAGGGTAGGTGAGGAGTTGAGGTGATTCAGATCTAATGAAATGGAAAGAGGGGATGTAGATCTTTAATTTTGGTGGGAGTCATTAAATTAGATGTTTAGATTATACAAATGATTACGTTGAGTATTAGAGTAAGTTAGGATTTAATCAGTTTTTAATAAGGGCAAAACAGTCATTTGGTCAACCAAAAAGTTACCAAAAAAGGAAAAAAATAAAATTGTTGCAAATAATACTAAGCACCTATTTTGGGTAAATGTTGCAAATAACCGTTAACGGAGGTAGTACTATAAACATACTCATTGTTGCAAAAATATATACAAAACCCATAATAGAAATATACTGCTTAATGCTACAATCAATATATAATTAAAATAAAGAGTAAAGTTAAGTTACTCAATTTGAGTAACATGAATTGTTATTCAAAGGGCACGTTGGTAATTTCAGGTGGAATTAGTAAGGGCAAAATAGGGAAAAAATTTATGTACATCATTAATTGTAGAAACAGAGGGTTTGCTATTGGTGTTAAGATGTGATTTTCAATGGAGCTCACAACCAAGCTAAGGTTCATCAATGGAGAAATCTAGTGGAAGAAGACAACACCCCTACCATTTGGGGTTAACATGCCATTCTAATCTTCTATTGTTCTTAGGGTTTTTGTTTAATTCGGCAGCGAAGCCGCCGAAAATGGTTGCGGAGGAAGAAGATGATGATGGTGATCCGGTGACTTATCGGGCTTATTGTTAACCTTCACCTGCAAATTCGTACACCGTCGCTCCGTCGCTCGTGGTTTCCCTTCCACATGCGGATTCGTCAACGATGTTTTTTCGGCTGACCATGATGGCGACTCCGATGTTGGTTTGTTTGGCTTCTTGGTGAAACTTTCACGCAAAACGGTAATACATTGCTTCGCCGGCCGTGGTTCTCTTTCTTTCGATTAATGGCGGTTGTGGTTGCTTAAATGGGCTTCTTGGTGAACAATTGCTTTCTGTCTCCTGGATACTAATAAACCTAGTGATAAACTCCGTCAACAAATCGTTACCATAAAAAATTATTAATCGCGTTTTTCAAGGCAAATATTTACCACATTGTCATTTGAGTAACAGCCTTTGTTACTCATTATGAGTAACCTGGGCCAACTTGTAACACCCCCCAAATCTTCCTCTACGGAAATACTAGTACAATATGTATAATTATACCATCACTATTAGAAAAAATGTTATTTGTAACGCCCTATTAGTAACTGGTTTGAATTATGTCAGTTACAATTAGAGTATTAGTAACTGACACATGTAGAGCGGGTTACAAATAAATTAGTATTTATAACTAACATAATCAAGGTCATTTACAAATAATAAGTCAATGATAGATTGACTAACTATAAGTAAAGAGCATAAAAAAGGTCAATTATAAATAATATGTCAGACTTTATTGACCTTATTAACTGTAATGGGTTTCATCAAAGTCAGTTACTACTCGCCATTTTTTTTAAGGGTACCCGTATTCTTCTGTCTCCTCCAACCTTGTCAAACATTTAAACTTAGCCCATTTTTTCACACACCCCCTTAATTTTTCTCTCTCCGCTGAAATTCCTTTGAAGCTCCTCCAAGGCTCTAAATCTCTATTATCAAAAATATCAGCTTAGTTCAATCGACGAATGGTCGGATTTCAGATTACCCCGAAAGTGCAAGGCTAAATTATTCACCGTGCAAAGCATTATGTTTTATGAAATTTTATCGATTTTTTTTTTTTTGTAAATGTGAATTTTTTTAATTGAAATTCTATTTCTTGTTAAATTTATTGTATATGCCTAATTGCCAATTTTCTGAAAATTTATTGGTTTTTTCCTAGTTTATGACATTTCAGTGGTATCTTATCTGCTGAATAATTATGTTACTTCTTCTGAGTTTAATTTTTTTTCCTGTTAAATTTCGTGAAATTTGGGGTTGGTTTAACTGTTAATCTTATTGGAGATATCTTATTTTGTGAAATTTCATGGATTTGGATCTAATTTGAGAGATTTTAGCAAATTTTAATTCTAATTTTCTGCAAATTTTGTAGAATTTAAAGTATTAAGATGATAAATCTGATTGGATTTGCATAATATGTTAATTTAGAGTATCATCCTGATGTATGCAGAGGAGATAATTGAACCATCACTGAGTCTTCTAGCCGATGTTGATCCTTGTGCTTTCAGGTTTCTTGATGATTAAACAGAAAAATCTTAGAAGGTTTTGCATTAATACTACTACAGACCAGGGGAGGGGAGTTAAAAACATTCAGCTTGTACAAAAGATCGATTACTTTCGTGAAATGCTTTTTCATTGATCAACTCTTGTGTTTTATCTCTTAAAAGCTCTTATTTCTTCTTTAGATCTTCTTTCTTCTTTCTCTCTCTAAAACTCAGTTTTTAATTGTAATTTTATTATGATTTTCTGAGTAATTTTATACAAGTATGAATTCAAGGGAAAATCTCAACATATATATATATATATATATATATATATATATATATATATATATATATATATATATATGAACTTCAATTCCCATGTATTTTTTTTACTTCTTGTTTAATTTCCTTGCAATTTTTTTGCAGGTGGGGCTATTAAAAAAACACTTGCAGATGACTACATGTAAAACAGTGAGATGATATTAGCGGAATGGTAAAAAAAAACATGCAAAATGAATCGTCAATAGCAATATTGATCCTTCAAACGAAACCGCCACCAACGATTGCGGTTCTACACTTAACCAATAAAATAATAATAATAATAATACCCAATCCTACGTGGACACTATTTAGGGAATAAATTTTTAAAACAAAGCAAAGTGGGAATTAATTTTGATTTAAACAATTTCTAGAGAAATGTTCGAACTCTACAATCATAAACTAATTTAAACCCTATTAATATTCTAAAACCTTAAAAGATATTTTATATATATATATATATATAAAAGAGCCGTCCTATACCTTTGGTTGTGCGTGAAACGCACCAAACCAACATTAGATTTGATAATGATATGAGGATGATGATGATTTACATCATTACTTGGTGAGATGAATAGAAAAGCTGCGCAATTTTTTTAGGGTGAATATTGTAATTCCAGTGTACTTTGTCGAAGGTAATCACACGATTTATTATCTTGGAATTGTTTGATTAATTTGTTTACATTGATCTCACACTATTTTTAAAATGTTTGTGTTTTCGTATTGTTATGTGTGATATGATTTATTATTTGTACTCTTTGTATAGATGATTAATTATTATGGTATTATATGATTTTATTAGATTTGAGTATCGTGTTATTTATTTTTGTTGTATATATTGATTGTACAATTATTGCAAGAGTTTTAATGTTGTTGTTATAGGGAGCATTGTTTTATCAAGGTTTTAGGGTTGTTAATGCAGAGTATTGTTTTTGGGTTGAGATTTGATTATATTTGGGTTATTAGTACTTTTTTAGGAGTTAGATATATTGTGATCGAATTGTCATGTTATTTGGGAACTCGTGCCATTATTGAGATACTATTTATCATCAAGTTTATGTTTATTTTTGATCAAGTATGAGATCAAAAGGTTGAGAATTATTATTTTATTCTTAGTTTGAGGCTCGGCGTTATAGACCTTAGTCCTTGGCATGTTGGTAAGGAGATGGTAATCATGAGTTAAGAATGAGGTACAATCTTTATTATTTTATTTTTCTATGGTCCCCTACAGTGGGAATTGACCCGTATGTGGTCTGATTCAAGGTGTTTTCTAGTTATTGGGAATATTCAAGTTTTTATACTTGTTGGTTTTATTCGAATTACCCATGTCCAAGGCTAGGTATAGAACAAAGAGCATGGCACACTATTGGTTACGAGTTGAGTAAAGGATTATTATTATTTGAGGTTGAGTTGACAAATGTTATTTTCAGAGTACAATGTGTAATGTAGTTTCGAACTACATTGTTTAATTGAATTGATTATATTACTCTTTGTATTTTGATAAGTGGTGATTACTCAGCTTTTTGCTGACGTGTGTGTATTGTTTTGTTGTGCTACTTGTGTTTACGGCCATGTCTTTTTCTTATGGTGGCCCTGCGACGATCTATTTTGGAATTTATCCTTAATGGTGACCAGTCAAGTTTGTATAAGCAGGTTTGATCAAGTGATCGTAGCTAAAGGGAGCTCAAGTGATCGATTAGTATGCTATAACGAGTTCGTAAAGTTGTAAATAGCTCACCTAGATTTATTGGGATTTGTAAGCCTTAACACTTGACAGGTTGTTGAGTGTGGCAGTAATACCTTCGATTTAGGAGTATGCTTCCGCAATTTTATTTAAAGGTTGTTTATTTTTCCTTTAATTCTTATCTATTTTCAGTTAGTAAATCGGGGGTGTTACACCAAATGCATGCAGCCTTACCACTTGGTGATTTACTAGTTCAGAGGGAGGGTCATCTAGTGTTAGTATGTAGTTTGATGAAAATTTTAACAAGCTTTGTCAGAGTCCAATCAACATACCACATCATAGGATCGAACAATAGGTAAAGAAATGTATCCCTCTTTAATACAGAGTATTATTTTCATGTGAAGAGTAAATAGTTCCTCAATGCAACAATTAGGTATATTAATCCTTGCCTTTCAAGTAGCATTTTGTTAATGACAGTGAGAGATAAGGCATGACTATTTTTTATATTCTGGCCATGGTTATTGATTGAGTAAAAGTTGAACTAGGCTTCATAGCAATTCCATCTCATTTATTGTTCTTTTTTACTTCGTAAATCTCAACTTGCTTTGTCGTGGGTTGTAATTGTAAGGACTGTTATTACCTACTTTTACAATGATTAAGGTTCAATTAATTTGCTATTACATTTAGCTTGTGAATGCTCTATTTATAGTTTTTTGGTTGATACCTATCTAGCATGGATACTCATTCTCTAGGAGCTTGTCGTTTCTAGCACTAACATGATTAATTTCTTTCGTCTAAAAGACAGAGATTAACTTAAATTACTATTTCTATATTGGTTTCCTTTGTTTTAGAGGAATTTTAATTTACAAAAAGTTTGGCACCTATTTTTCCTTCTTGTAATTAGCAGGAAAGTGATGGTTTTATTTGATACTTTTATAGTTTAATTTTGCATCTTCCTTGGCTGTTTCTATAATTTCTCTTAGTGAGGTGAATGCTCTTGGAGTTGGGTTCTATTCTGCTTATAGCAATAGCTCTTGGTAGAACTTATTATCTATCGTCTTTGTTGGGTGCATTTGGGTGATATCCCCTATCCCACCCAACTTGATTAGTTTCATTCCGTTGTTCCTTAGCTTGCATGTATCATGAATCGTTAACCTGATTCTATTCACATAACATTTAGACACTTTTAATACTCAATGTCTTGCAATCTTCTCAAAATTAATAAGTTAAGAAATCCATTATCACTACTTGAGTAAGTCAAAACTTTTATCGGTAGAACATTTTATGATATCCCACAAACTCATATTTTGGAAATTATCTAAGATTGGTCTTTGTGATAACAATTTGGCAGGTTGGTTTTGGATGCAGGGTTCAATATTATTTCAAGCTTATTCTACAAGCACCTTCAAAAATGGTAAACGACTTATGAGAGGATGATTTCTACAAGCAATTCTCAGATTGTTCCGTTTTAGAAATCACAATAATGTTCTATTTTGTTTATTTCAAATCACCTCTTATCGCTCTGTTATTTTAGGATGACATACATTTCCTTTGTAGTTGAAAGTTGGTGACATATTTGTAATTTACAATTACATTATTTTCTATATTTTATAATTGATGATGTAGATCAATGTCGATTAAATTGGACCTTACATGGTTTAGATTAATAATTATTGTATTTATAACTGTATAAAAGTTGGGTTTATAATTTATGACGCTTCACATTAAAAAAAATGTAGCGTGGGTAATGGCAATAGGGGCATCTAGCACAATTGCCATTTTTATTTTTTTAAAATAAAATAAAATGCTATTCGTAACTGGCGTTAAGATTTGTCAGTTACTTATAATACCCTAAGGGGCCGTTTGGTTCGCAGAGAGGAATCAGAATGGAATGAAGAAAGGGAATGGAGAAGAAAGAAATGGATTCCCCTGATTTTTCCTAGTTGTTTGGTTGTGTCCAGGAAACGGAATGAACTGCTCACTGATTCCCTTTGTGACTGTTTGGTTCAAGCCAGGGAATCAAATTTTGAGTTTTTAAATTCTTTTAATTTTTGTTCAAAAATAACTTGTTATTATTTGATAAAACTTGTTTCTTCAGGAAACTTAAAGAACCTGTTTTTATTTTTTTTTTATTTTTTTTTAAAATATACCACCAAACCTGTATCGTCTTTTCCTGCAATATGAAAAAAAAACCAAAAAAACATAATATATCTCCAGATAACACCTTTTTAGCTCCATTGATTACAAATCCAAGTAATCACCTCTTGGTGAAAATAATACCAATGCAAAGTACTTGTTCCTAAATAAAAGTTCATACCAAAAGTGTTATAATAAGATTAACATTCAACCCAAGTCTTTGCTACTAATCCTTTCTAGATAAAGTTCATACCAAAAGTAGTAGCTTGTGAATAACACCTAATTGAAAACCATACATGAAACCACCACATAAGATTTAAGCATCACCATTTCCACTTCCTCGTAGAAGACTCTTAACATAAGCACTTTTTATAGCGTCGGGACACTTTGAAAATACCATGAGCTTGTTTGATTGTGCGGTTAGAATGTTAGTCACTTCAAAAACTTGGGCCGTGACACCTTCTAAATTGAAAGAGAGTAGTTCCTCTAGCACTTGCTCACTCTTTTCAACTAAATTTTGCTCTCTTTCATCCGCTCGTTGTTCACGATCATCAATGCGTGCCATTACATTTGCCATAGTGGAAAGATGAACATTCATGTCTTTCATGAATGCTTGTAAGCTAGCCAACTCATTACTTCCAGCACCACCTTTTTCTTTCTTTTGTTTTGGAAGTTTTTTCAGTCTTCATCTTTTTTGAAGGAGGAGAAGTAACGGTCTGAGTGACATTACCACTACCAGCAACTCCCTCATCATCACTTGAATCGAGTAAAACCTATGGGGGGGGGCAACAGTTTGCAAATTGTTGATTGCTTCAACAAAATCTTCAGCTGGTTTTCCAGTTGCATAATCCTTGCCATAAACATTCATGAGTTCATGGAAGTGGGGAAATGAAACTCCATACAAGTTTTTGCAGCTTGGATTTTTCTAAAAAGCACAAAAATTCCCCAAATGCTCAAGTATACAACATCATGAGGTATCTCAAACATAATTTAAATGACATTCCACATAGGTTTTTTTTTAGCTAGCACTACAAACAAAATCCTGAAATTAGATTTTTTTTTTAAAAACTAATGCACTTGTATAAATAGTTCCTGCTAACTATAGTTCCTATGCTTGCTTGTATAAATAGTCCTTCAAATCTATAAAAAATAGCAAAAATGCTAAGCATCCATAGCCATAGGAATATAAACAAAAATAGCAAGTATTCAAAATAAAAGTTCATGACCTTAAAAAAGTTATCATACCTTGCAAAACTCATCATAAACAGCCCGGTCCACAGAAACCATTTTTTTGGAATCATCCCAAACGAATCCACTACTATTTAACATAGTAGAAATAGCCCTAAACTTTGCTCCAAGTGTCTTTAGTCGAGAATCGATGTGTGGCATAGCCTTCAACCCACAACCAGGAAGAGCCTTACCTATGATCTCCTCTAAGCGAACCATGTAGTTGCTTCTGAACCCATTTTCACACTTCCAATGAGGATCAACAACTAGCTCTGACAATGCTTCTACAAGAACTTTATCTTCTCGAGCGGTCCAAAATCGTTTGTTTTTTCCCCTTCCACCTCCACTTGCACTACTTTCATCCATCCTACTAAAACATTTGAACCATATTAACATGTCAAAATAACATTGCATGTATATAAAAGTGAAATTAACAAAAAAAAATTCAATACAAGTACATAAAGGAAATTATTATAAGTCCAACACAAAATCCATGACTTGATACAACAATAAAAAAAAAACACGAAATTGAAACAAAGATACAAGTCTCAAGTTCAAATAACAAATACAATGTTGTTTAACAAACAAGAATAATATCACAAAGTAACTCTGTGGTGTCTAGCCCTCCAATCATTGAACATATTTTGGGCCATTGTATTTCGAAAATTAGTCCATGGATCGGTTACAGCAATGGAGGTTATGTATTCCACATCATCTTCATCACTAGCATCACCATCATCATCATCATCACTATCACTTTCCTCAAACAAGTCATCATCATCAAATTCTTCAAGCATGTATCTTTTTACCAAGTTATGTAATAAGGCACAAGCAAGCACAATTCGACCATGTGTTTGTAAACTAAACCAAGAAGGACTTCTAAGAATTCCCCATCTTCCCTTGAGTAACCCAAAGCATCTCTCAATCATATTTCTAGCTTTTGCATGCCTTAAGTTGAAATATTCTTCGGCAGTTTGAGGTTGACGGGGGCCATTATTCCATTCTCTAAGATGATTAAGATGCCCTCTATAAGGTGGAAGGAATCCCTCTACATTAGTATATCCTCTGTCACATAGATAATAACAACCATGACACATTTAAAAAAAAAAAATTACTCTCTTACTAAGGGCCTGTTCTCTTACGTTGAAGTTCAGTTCAGTTCAGTTCAGCTCAGCTTAGTTTAGTTCAGTTCAGCTCCTAATTTCCTTCTCTTATAAAATATTCAGTTCAGTTTAGTTCAGTTCAGTTCAGTTCAGCTCAATTCAGTTCAGTTCAGTTCAGTTTAGCTCAATTCAGTTCAGTTCAGTTCAGTTCAGCTGAGTTCAGTTAATGAGAACAGACCCTAAGTCAATTTCAAATAACGTCTACTACATCAATCAAATTACCTTTTGGAACTTTCAACCCATTAGGCCTAGAAATAACATCTCGAAGAATCCGACCATCATGTGCCGATCCCTCCCAACCAGATAAGACATATATAAATTCCATTTCAGGTGAGCATACTCCTAGTACATTCTTAGCAAGGGTACCTTTTCTAGTGCAATATTTGGATCGATCTTCACTAGGAACATTAACTAGAATCATTTTACCATCAAGGGCACCTAATGAGTTCTACAAAATAAACAATATCACTTTAAATTATGTAATAGTCTCTCTATTTTATCTCAAATTAAAGTGTTGGTTTTTTAATTTACCTTGAAATATTTCCACCTTTCATCATCGCAATCCTCTTATATTGGAGTTGGTTTCTTAAGAAGAATATCATGTAACTTTAAGATTGCTAAAAAACAACCATGAAATTGTCTACTATTAGTTTCACCACTTCTATAAAAATGTGCATCAATCATGCTATTTTTCTTATGGTGAGCTAATGTGTATAAGAAGCCCGCAACCATCTCTTCCAAACATGTGTTTCTTGTTTCATTTAATCCACCAATATCTCTAACCATTTCTAAAAGTACACCAAATGTGTATCGATTTATACGAAGATAGTTCCTACACAAAGTGTCACTTTCTCTAATCATTCTATTCAAGTTGTGCAATATCATTTTCCTTCTAGTTTTTTTTATCTAGCTTAAGATAATGGGAATTGTATATAGTTTTTCTCATTGAGTAACACATCAAATGTAGCAACACAACACAATTAATCATAGTAATTATGAACCGAATAAAGTCCCAATTTCTCTTCCTTTTCAAAGAAGTACCGATTCGAGTCATTTTCTGTAGAAAATAACATCAACAACAACATATCACTAACTAGTTTACATATCATTTATACTCAAGATATATAAAAATTTCAAGCTAAACAAATATATACATATACATGAACATTAGTATATATAAACATCAAATTAGCATTCATTCAAGGAGGAAAAAAAAATCAACAAATATACACTGTTTTGTATTTCCCAACAAAAAACAATTAAAAAAAATTAAAACCAGTAAACCCTTCTGTAGACACCTAAAAATGTCTCCCCAAAACCAAACCCGATGATGAACAACCTTTCACCGCCACTATTGGTCAGGTTCAGTATTTAATCCCGAGTGTGCTTAAAAAATTGTATTTAATTAAATTCGTATTTTTGAATAGTCTATGGATTAGTCTTGATGTGTGGTCAAAGCATAGTTTTAATTTTAGCCCAAACCTTTTTTTTATTTTACTGTTTTATTATTTATTTTGGCCCAAACTTTTTATTTATTTACTTTAGCCAAAATAATAATAAAAATCAGAAAATGGCCCAAAATTATCAATCGGCACTTAAAATGTTGAACGAAATTAGGGTTAAAAATGAATTTAGACGAAAAAGCGGACTGAAAATTCCCGCGTCACGGCAACAGTCCATCGTGTCACGGGAAACTTTCCCGTCTGACGGTGGGATTTCCTGTGACACGGGAAACCTGCTGTGACACGGGAATTTCCATGTCCTTTCCGCGTAAACCCTTAACGTGTTTTCTCCCCCGTTCATTAAATATTTCCCGCATCACACAAAATATGCACCGTGTCACAGGAATGTTTCCCGTCTGACGGTGGGATTTCCCGTGTCACAGTACACTTTGCCTTGTCGCGGGATACTTTTTTTTAGGGTTTTTATCATTTTAGGGTTCCGTGTGTTCTATCAGCACATTTTTTCTATAAATACCCCCTCATTTCTAATGTACGGGGCATCAATTAATTCTCTAGTTTTTTCTCTCTTCTATGCTCTAGCCTAAACACTAGCCTACCCTTATTCTTTCAAAATTCCTTCTTCAAGCACTCCCAGGAGTCCATACTTTACTCGTGGTTCTGTCCTTAAGCCAAGGCGTGAAAGGTAGAACTGTTTGAGGGTTTGGCCCCAAATAGATTTAATTTAATTTAATTTAATTATTGTTTTATTATTATTTCCTTGAAGTTACTAACTCGTTTATTATTTTGTAGTTGCAAACAAATAGAATCAAAGTAAGAATTATGTTCCTTTTATTTCTATTATTTTTCTAACGATTTTGTAATGTTAGAATTATTGTTAAATTGCTTCCAATATTGATGTTATTCTATTATTTTTTTATGATCACCATTTTGCATGTTTAAAGGGAATATGTAATTGAAATCACGCCTAATAAGATAATTTGGACAACCGGTTTAGGTTCCTTTTTAATCTTGTTGCTTAATTCAAGTGATTACAAATTTTATAGAATTATGTGTTGCATTAATATTCAACCAATTTAGCTAAATAATAGTTTGGAGCAAATTGAATCTTTGTTTGTATGCCTTTGAGATCGCAGGAATCACTTTTCACTATGAGAATTGAGTAGAGGCCAATACGGGCTAATGTGACTCCATGACTCACTTCGTACCATCATCCCCGATCCTCTTTTCGTGGTTCCGAACCATATGGAGTTAGTAATCTCATGGATTATGAATGGGGTGTAACCTTCACGGGTCAATCGTTGTTGCCTATCGTTGTCCCTTTATCGTGGTTGCCTTTTATGATCCGTGAACGGTTTACAAGTTCCTTAAAAACTTGTTGGCGGCTCCCTACTTTCCTTGTCCCTAATCGTATATGTCAATTCCCACTACCTATGAGTGCCAAGCATATTCATCACATGCTTTGACGTAGGCGCACTTCAAACGACGCCTACAATTTGGCGACTCCACTGGGGAGGATTCTTAGTTATTTATCGATTTGAGTGATCGGTATTTAATTAAGATGAGTGGATGAGACTTGAAAGATTCTTGAAAAATATTCCTGTGATTAATTTGGCATTTTTGCATATGCATAGACGTTTTAACGTCGCATTTAGGTCTGTCCCGTAGGAAAAATTGAATAACTTGATTGCGTACGAAGGAAAATAGGGCACCAATCAGATTTTCTGACTGCCGTGCCATGGAAAAATTTGCCGTGTCACGGTACAGTGCACCGTCTGACGGTGTGCCATACCGTGGCACGGGAATCTCTGCCGTGTCACAACAGCCCTAAAATCAATCCGGTGGCTTATTTTCTCTTCTCACAGTCAACTTCCTTCGATTTTCTAAAAAAACGTGTGTGTTCTACATGCGTCTTAGCCCCGGGGGATTTAAGCTCTATCAACCCAAAAACGCTCATGGAAATAAGGGTTCATCTGAGTTATTAAATCCACCCAAACTATAGAGTCGAGTTCGATTTCATCACGAACTCGCGGAGCCGCTCGTTGGCATACACTCTCAAGGGAGGTTGCCTTGCTAATGCGTCCAAACTCTTAACCATGGTACCCTTTTGACACCTAAAGCTTGACCAATAGTTGAACATAGATCTTGACTCTAGGTTGCGAACTTTTTTTTACATCATCGTGACTAAATGCTACATGGTTGTTTAGTGCTAACCTTTATGTGTTTACTCTTTTTGTTTAACCCATGACCGAGGGTTTTTATTTCCACATAGTAATTAGTACGGACCTAAAATCGACTAAAATCTGGAAAAATCACGAAAAAGACCTGGAACTGCGCACCGTGTCACGAAAAGTCCTGCCGCGCCAGGGTGAATAGTGCCGTGACACGGCTCTTTCTACCGTCAGACGGTAGACTGCACTGTGTCACGATAGTCAGCACCGTGACACGGTGCCCAGGAAAAGTGTCCTGTTAGTCTTTTTTCAGTTTTTGTGCGTATGTATGTGTCCAGTTTGGTGTACGGTCATAACACACGTTCATAACCTCACTTAATCACTCACATGTCGTGTTCACACACTTTTTTTCATTAGTCGTGCACCACTTTTTGACCGTATTTTTGGGTAGTCTTTTTTTTGTGTCGTTTTTTTTTTTCGGAGTAAGTCGGATAGTATCCTCCCATATTTTTTTTAAAAATAAATAAATAAATAGAATTTCAAAATTATAGATTTTTAAAAGGAAAAATTGCTCCCATTAATCTAAACTTTGCCTCGTCCGCCGAAAATAATCCTAACTTTCGTTTATTATCTATTGCACCGAACTGGGGGGGGTATTAATTTTCGTTGCTCCCAAATACCTGCAACCGGTAAATCAAGTAAACATTTCTGAATTATTTTTTTTGCACACGTGTCAACATGTAATTGGTTGAAAAATAGAAAAAAAAAATTAAAAACATAATTAAAAAAAAACCTAACAGCCAGTCCCCTTAGACAGCCCAATTCCACCACCGCCACCACCTGTGCCCCCACCTCCGACAACCCTACCCAGGTCGCCGGTACCCCTGCCCACCAAAACCGGCGAAACCTTCCTTCCCTCTCCCCGAAAACCACCCCAGCTCCGCCCTACAGCTCCAACAACATCAGATTCGCGCCGAGCAACCCCCGCAACCACCATCGCCACTGCAGTCCGAATTCCTACACCCCCAGCCACCGAAAACCTCCTCTAACACCACCCCAACCACCGAAAACCTCCTTCTAACACCACCCCAGCCACCGAAAACCTCCTTCGACACACCCCAGCCATCGAACTACTCCCCTCATTTCCCCACTCAAAACCCACATCCACCACCATATTTTTAGGGTCGAATTGCGAGATCGGGAAGGGAAGGGGTGGCTGGGCGGTTTTCGGTAGCGGGGGAGGGGTTTTCGGGGAAGGGGTTGTTTTTCCGGCGGGGAGGGGGTGGGGGTGTGGTGTTTTCCGGGATAAGGTGGGGGCTGGGTATTTTTCTTTTTTTTTTAA